GTACCCCGATCGAGGTTCACACCTGGAGTGGATAAGGAGAATACAACTACTGACATAAGTTCAAGTCAACCGGTCCTGGGCTCCGCAAGACTGGGCGGGAAAGATAAGAAGTCCCGCAGTAAAAGCTTGGGGCCTGGTGGTTTAGATGCGCTTCAGAACTCCAACGGTAACCGACGCAAGGTATATTCCCTCTCTTAGCCCCACGATCCTCTGATTCCTTTGCAAACTAAGGCAAATATTGTCGCATTATAGTCCACTACAGCATTCCCTCTCAAATCTATTCTAAAACCCACCGTGCCCGTTTCGCCAGTGCGAAACATCCCCTCTTTCGAAGAAACACGGAGGCGAACACCAGCTCGAGGATCACAGCATCATGAAGACAATGAAGGTGGGGTAATCCAGGGGAGAGAGGGCATGTTGATAGACCTTGGCACCCCAGCACAGCCGTCCGGGCCTATAAATGAATCCAACCCATTCGACAGCTTTAATGCTTCATCAATCCGTGACGAGATGGCCGCCGCTAGAGAGCGTGACGAGAAGAACAGGCGGGAGCGGGAGCGGAAGGCCATTCTAGAACAGCGGGAAGCCCGCCGGAAGTCTATGGGTATGGTATTGTCTTTCCCTCAGCAGTTTATGTGGGACTGACCAGTTTTATCACAGCAAACCGCCGAGTATCGTTCGCTCCGGAGGCAACATTACACACATGGAACGTAGTGGAGATTCCCGACGACTCTACTTCATCGTCTACCTCCAACTCCACCAGACGCGCATCTTCCTTAACTTCTGAGAACCAGGCAACACAAGCTGCCGGACAGACTGAACCTCCCTTGTCCCCGGATGCCGAAATCGAGTCAGACATAGCATTTTCTCCTGTGCAATACCCAGATCTTCAACAGTTGGCAAACCGACCTCAATATGGAACTTATGATGGAATGGGGTCCTCCCAGCAAATGTCCTCTAGCCCCTTCAGCGGCAGCTCTGCAGATGGAAGTGAAGATATTGGGCGGCAAGCTGATACTAGAGATGATGAGGAGGAGGATGACGATAACTCTTCAACCTCTGGTTTTGACGGTGAAAGTACTGCAATGAGCCTAGATGATGTAACTGCTCACTCAGCGGTGACGGCGCGATCCGAGGAATCGAATACCAGCTCTAGCGCCCGACTCAATGAGGCTCTTCGACAAGCAGCTCGAGAGGCCGGCACGAAGAGCATCGATGACGATGAGAACGGCGACATGTCAATGGAGATTGCCGATCAGGAAATCACAGGTGCTTTCCAACCCTGGATTAAGAAAGGACAGAGACAAAGCTTTGACTGGGAAGACATCAGCGCCCGACATGACCAAGAGAATGCGTATTCAACGGACCACCAAGACCGTGATGCGGCAAGTGACAACGGAGATGATGATATGAGCATGGAAGTGACGAATGCCATTGGCCGGATCATCTCCAAACCGGCAAGCCGTCGTCAAAGCGCCATCCGTCGCAAGTCAAGTGGAGAGGAAACAAACTACGGTGAACAAACGATGGAGCTCACAAATGTGGTTGGAGGCATCGCACAACCTACTTCCCCTGCGGAGTCCACAGGCGCGGATAGTAATGCAAACGAGAACGAAGAGATGACAATGGAATTTACTTCCGTAGTTGGCGGGCTTCTGGGCAAATCTTCCATAGAAGATGAGGATGAGGACGACTACGGGGCTGCTGGGTCTTCTGCTCCGGGAGACTCCAACGAACGGAACTTCGAATGGAACGAGGACGGCATAATAGAAGATGGCGAAGATATGGAGATCACTGGGGCCCTTGGTGGTATCCTTCCACCGAATGAGGAGCGAGATGAACCAGAGGAGGAGGAGGATGATGATGATGATGACCAGACTGCAGGGATGGAAGTCACGACAGCCATGGGTAGGATATTACCACCGGAGGCCGAAGCCAGTGGTAAAGAGGAAGCAAAGGAAGAGATGGAAATGGAATTTGAATCCGCTGAGCGCGGTAGTTCTCCTTTCCAAGAATCCGTTCGACAGTCTCCTGCGAAGTCACCAGGCCCTTTCCATGTTACTACAGTGACCTCGGAGAGTGGCAGTCCTAGTTTGGCAAGTGTCAGATCCCGACATACAAGGCAGAGTCTGAGTCAAGGACCTTCGAGCACACCAACCTCAACTACCCCTAAGATGTCCCCGTCGGAGAACTCGTTGACTCCTTCGAAACAATCGACACCGCAAGTTAGTCATCCTACAACGCCTGGAAAAACTCCACCATCAAGTGCCAAGGGGTTTAGAAACGCGTCACCGAAGAAGCTCTTTCAACCTGAATTGCAGGAGTCCGCAAATAAACCAAAGTCGCCCCGTAAGAGCCTTTTTGGAAACAGTGCGACGGGCGAATCCACGCCTCTCTTCGTCCTGCAACCGAAAAGCAAGAGGCGTTCATCTGGACTTGGGATTGATAAAGAAGGATTAGGGTCCCCCAAGGTAGCTGCTATGCTCGATAAGCGCCGGTCTATTGGCGAAGATAGTGCTGAATTCGTTCCTCAGGAACGGCAACAAGGTGTACGATTCGAAGATCCTTTGAAGCTTCAAGAGGAGGTTGATCGTGAGCGCGAAGAAGAAGAAAGTCGCGAGGATGGACATATCCCACCGCTGCAAGGTAATGACCGAGATGCGACTACAAACTTGAGGGATATGATATCAAGCCTCACACCGAAGAAGAACAAACTTGCCGGCCGGAAAAGCTTACACGTCGGTGCGGCGCGGGGCTTACTTGGTAAACGGCCGATGGAACTGGACTTACCTGACGACGAATCTGACCATACACCCAAGCGTCTAAGAGGTCGTGAGGCTAGCCCTGTAAAAAATATCAGACTTCCCGCACCACCGACAAAAGATGAAACAGTCGGACATCTGGGCCGCTCCCCTGCTCCCCCATCAATTGAAAGATCCCCGGCAAAGGTTAGCACAACCCCTACAAAGGTGCCGAGGGGTTCCTCTGTGATGGTAAACCCTATAGAAGACGAACCAACGTCGTCCAATGGCACATCCACTTCTGAGCCAGCTCAAGAAACCCTCTATCGTCAGGAAGAATCCGGGCCAGAAGTTGAGCCTATCCAGTTGCAAGAGTTCTTGAACATGACCAACATTCACTTCATGGAGCTTACCACGACGAAGCGTCGACATACCACTGCGCCGGACAGTGCGACCAAAAGAAGAGCCAGACTTTCTAGCGAAAAGTTTAGTGCCTCCAAGTTTGATGATTGTGTCGCTGCTGGCTTCTGTACCGTACCCATGCTCGAGCTTTATCAACATGTCAGTTTTGTCTTCTCGACAAATTCGCAATGTTTTGCTAATTTTCTCTAGTCTTGCCGAGAGTTGAAGTCGTATATCTCAGAAGGTAGGCAAATTATCCGGTCCATCGAGATGGAGACCTATGCCGAGAACCCCCCTTTATTCCGAGAATATACGACCGCCCCTCCCGATATCCGTCTATTAATGGACAATCAATTTCGAAACGTAAAAACTCACGCTAGGCTGCTTAGCAAAGCTACTTGGTATGAGTGGCGGATGAAGCTCCTCGAGGGTCTGAAAGATGGGCTTAACCACCACATTGAAGAAATGAGAAGTGATGATGAACTTTTGTCGAAGCATGAGACACTCCTTAGCGGTGTGGTGCCCGCACTTGTCGGAAAACATTCATCACTTGAGGAACAGGCTACATCTCTGCAGCAGTTGGCGGACGAGATTGAAAATTGCGACCAGGATGAACTCCGTGATGTGCGCGGGAAACTCTCTAGCATCGAGGAGGAGATTGCATCAAAGAAAAAGTTACTTGAGGAACTACAAGTCGAAGCCCAAGAAAAGACAAACATTATCGAAGCCGGAGTGGAGCTTAAAGCGGAATACTTGGGCCAAATCCAAGAGGCGGAACGGGTTAAGGAGGAATGTCGGGGCTGGAGTGCCAAGGAGATTAGTGAGTTGAAGGGTAAGTGCCTTCTTTACATATATGGCTGAGACTTGAGCTAATTCTCGATAGAATCCGTCCATAAGATGGAACGTCAGACAGGATGGTCTATCATCTCGGCCACTTCCCCTTCCAGTTCCCCTACAGGTCCATTGGTGACGATGTCTTATCGCAATCAGCTCCAACTTTCGTTCCACCCGGGGGCGTTCTTTATTGATAATGGCAACAGCCAACATCCTGGTATTAACGAGAAAATGCCGATTGAGTTGAAACACAGCCCTCAAGGCAGAACAAACTTTATAGCCCATTCCTCTAAGCTCTCGCCAATAGGGTTGTTAGTCTTGAAGTCTCTTCAAAATGAGCTTGCAATCATCCCACAGTCTAAAACGGCTCCAAAGCAGATGCTCCGTTTCGTCGCGCAAGCGTGGGATCTTGTGCTCAATCTCGAAGAGGAAGCCCGTATGCTGGGATTCTGCGGTGCTACCAAGCTCAAGTTCTCCGAGATTGATGCAAAACCCTCCCTCAGGGCGAGATGCACTCTGCTTGAACTATCATCTGGAAAGGGATCCTCAAAAGCAAAGAGTACAGGAGCCAGAAGAGTCGATGTTAACTTTGCTGTCAAGACACGTGTGCAAAAAGGAAACTCTGGTGATGTTGGTGTCCTAGCATTCGAGACCGATGTGATTGCTAGTAAAGTCTATGGCTTTGGAACTACGAATAGCTCCGGCATGTCTGAGGATGAAATGCGAAAACTTCTTCGTAAGGAGCTCGGGGAGAAGTCCGGGCCCGAGCTTGGAAACGGTATTTGGAGCAAGGCAGTTCAAACACTTACCGGGACAGTGTTTTAATTATGAGCAATGGCATATGGCGTCTCGAGGATCGTCGGGTTTGGTTTTATTTCTTTTGCGCGCGAGTAGGGTGACGGTGTTTGAGAGCAAGGCTTGGGAGTTCACTATGGGTTCTGGATGGGTAAATATCTTCGGTGGGAACGGGTTTATACATGGATATGATATGTGGATACATTTACAAGTATATGAGAATCGCAATCTTGAGTTTTTCATGCGTCGTTCAACCTTCAGCAACGACATAGAGCCCTCAACAACGCCGAAGCATATATTTGATCACCATACAAACCAATCCAATCCAATGAAGGAAACCCAACGAGACCCCCCCTTACCCACCCAACACCGTAAAAACTAACAGCCACTATCGTCCCTAAGTGTCCTCCCCTCTCTTCCTTATATCCTACCTCCTCCAACAAACAGGCTCCAAGGGCGGCTCGCCCGCCGCCTCCCTTCTCTCATTCTCCTTCACCCACGCCTCAGCATGATCTCTCCTCGCATCTAGCTCCTCACACATCTGATCCGACACAATGGCCAACACCTTCCCTTCCATGTCTTTCTGGTACCAGCCGCCGGTGGTGTCGACCGTATCATCGAAGGTGGTTTCGGGGTTGGCGAGCACGGCCTTCTTGATGTCTTCTTCTGTGTCTAGGCGTGGGATTGAGGGGGAGATGGTGGGTGGGTAGCGGGTGTAGGTGTAAGGTTTTGTATTGAATGAGGTAGTCATCCTTGTTTCTCTCGGGCTGAATGTGACAGGGTGGTGTCTATTAGTTGTTTGGGTTTGGATTGTTGGTGAAACTGGAAGTGATGAGCGAAGGAGGGAGGGTAGTTTGGGATTTGAGAGTAGATTGAGTATACACAGAATGGAGTTGGGCCGAGGTTTATTTATAAATGATTATGTATTGGCGGTTGGTATGTGTTGGTTGAGTAGAAAATGAGATATGAGATGAGATTAGATGAATCGTTCTTTGTGGTGGAAGAATTTAATGGAGGTATAAACATGTGACAAGTTATGGAAAATATATACAAAGGACACACCTACGTCATTGCGATCGACATCTAGCGCTTACTTTTGGCGGTGGCCTGATTGTTTAGGGTCTAGACAGGGTATCTTGATATCCTTTTGTCTTTTAATCTGTAAGATCGTGTTTTGAACGGGTTTCTACTCGCTAGAAGGTTATGGACTGTTGGTAACTGTTCTTCATTTTGATACATCCAATGGGTATTGAGAATAGGCTGCTATCGTGATTTTAGAATGGAGTGACCGGTGTTATCGTCAATTCATTAGGGTACAGACAGAGTATTATATCCGTCATATTGCTTCTGGCTCACTATCAATGGGCATCCCCGGTCAAATACTAGAGCAGGGATATATAAATGTAAGACGTCGCTGGAACCGCATGTCGAGGGCTCAGCTCACAAAGGTTCGGTCCTCCACTGGTTGATTGATTAGAAGAGGTTCATAAATCCCCGGGGCATCCACGCAGGATAGTCCTCTGCATTATCAGAATCATCGCAGTTGAACCCCATGTTCATTGGCGCCGAAGGCATTGATGGTGCTGTCATCCCAGCCATTGCCGACATGACATCGCTACCCCCTTGATCAAAGAATTGTGGGCCGAAAAGGCTCAGAAACTGACTGCCAAACTCCCAATCAGCCGTCATTGGGATTTGCCACAATTCTGGCTGTTGTATGTCGTCGGCCATAGCGGCCGGAAAAGTGTCATCCATTGGATACTGGTAGCTCTGCTGGATGGTTGCACTTGGGCTTTCATGGGCCTGGCTAACTGGGTACCCGCCTAGGAGCGGATCGTTCACAGTGGGTTGGTCCGCAGTGGGGGTGTCTTCTGAGGCAGCGCTAGGGCTTTCAGGAACAACATAGCCCGACGAGTTAATGCGTGGAAGACCTTCGAGTTGAGGAATGTCAACATGACCGGTAGAAGACAAATGGGATACTTGCTCCCTGGATGGGGAGCTCGTTTCATTTCGTTCTTGGGTGGTGACCGATGATGCCACGGGCTGGTGATGTGTATCGCTTGATTTGAGTGCCTTTTGTTCTCGCTCAACGACAGCCCGGGCTACTCGCTCGAAGTTAGCACACATCTTAGTCATGAACTTGGCGTAATTGCACGGCCCGTCGCCGGGTATGAGCGTTGCGAAGAAGGTTGCTGCCATGCTTAGATGCTGCAAATCTTCTCTGGCGTTGGGGTGCTGACTGTCGCGTAGGATATAAGTGAATAGTATGGTAACTGCCAGGAAAATATAATACAACAGAGACCTACGGTTGTATTAGCGGGAGGTCCAAATTGATATCTCGAGAATTCAACAACTCACCAGATCCATGCTATGTCCCCCCATGGAAGGTTATTCACAAGCTTCAATGTGTCCCGGGCAGCCTGAACACAGATTGAGCTCGCCTTAGTCGACTCGTTGAAGATAGTTTTGTGATCAACGTCCCACTTGACGTTAATTGTAGAATGCCGCACATAGGCAAAATGAATAGTCAAGGGCAGACGATGGATCATGATCATAGAATTAAAATAGCCAAACTGCAAGCCAGCAGTAGCAAATCCCACCAGGAAATCCTCGCTTGCTCCTCTCGGCTTCAATTTTTGGGTGAAAGGGCTTGCCTGATGCCATTCCTCAAGCTCCTCCCGGAGCTCCCGGACGACTTTGTAGATTTCTTTGGGAGACATTTTCTGCAGAGCCTTAACAGCATAAAGCTTGCTATATATTCGGCTTCTTATGAGCGTCATGTGGCAAATCTGGCGGAAAAAAGAAGCATTGCCGTGCATTGTAAACTCATCGTCGGTATCCACCTCCGGAAAACCGATATCGAGATCGTCTGGATGCTGGGTGGGCGAACTACCCGTCCGTATGCATGCGCTACACCATTTGGGCGTTAGCCTCTGATGAAACGAAAAAAGAAATTACCATATATTGGACGGGTGTTACCTCTGATCAAGGATATAGGCAACCCAGAATACCCTCTTCCTCTGTTCTTGCTCGGCCTGGGAAAGATGGGGTCTAGGAACGTCACGATGGAGCCCCATTCGTTGACAGGCCCGGATGGCGGCTGTTATGATAGGTGATGCTGACTGAGTGCCCGAATTTCCTCGAAGAAATAAGGCCATGCCAATAAGGGCCTGCACGCTCAAAATATCGGTCCTCCGTAATGTCAGCTCCGCAAAGACTGACATAGCATTTTTGTAATAAAGCCAGGCTTTCTCCCTGTCTCTCTCTGACTTCTGACAGTTGGAAAATCGGTACTCGTAAGCTAAAGAGAGGATAATATTGATGCTGGCCCAACGGGCAGCATCATCACACGTCTGTTGCGTATATTGCCATTCAACCAACTGCATAAACGTCGCCTCGTGGTACAGTGGAAATAACCGGTTCACTGTGCGAAAATAATCCTTTAATAAGGAAAAAACTTCTGCTCTCGGAGGCAAGGGCTTAAAGACTGTAGACGAGAACACGTCATGGAATACATCTGGCCGCCAGTGATCCCAGGGGCTGTCGTGGTCCTTGTCCTCAAGTAGTAGAGTAAGAAACCTAGAGTCCCCTGTCTTGCTCTTGATCCACTCAATCCCATCTCGAGATAAAATGGACAAGAATGAAGATCGTCCTGGTAATTAGTCAGCCAACAAGTGCCTTAGAGGAACAACATAGGGGGTATAATATTGTCTGACGTACCGTAGTATCGAGAGTCCTCTCTAGGGTCATAGCGGAAGAGGGGTGGCTGGTGTAGGGTACTATCCCAAGGTAGCTTCTGGCTCCGCCCGGCAGACTTACTCGACAGACCTGAACCAGACGGGGCGTTTGACTCTTCGTTTGCAACATGTATTGAGTCTTTCGATGTTAGCATACTGCAATGACGGCCCCTCGAACCGCAAGGTTCGTTTTGTGCATGATCAATATCACTTTCGTCCTCGGAGCTGTCGTTACCATCTTCACCACCAGAATCAAGTTGGCTCATATCTTCGTCGTCTAGAAGACCTGCAGCGCGAAGTAAAGACTCAGTCTTCCTCAAACGTTCTTCTAAGTTTTTCACGTAGTTCGTTCTAGAAGAGACTATTTAGCGAAAACAGACCCTTGACTAGCTGTAGGTGAGAGTTGCAGTGATATGCCGATACCTTTTCAAATTATCTCTCTTCTCTTTCCTTGTGGTGAATTTGCACGTTATGTTACGACGCATACATTGAATACAGGCCGTGTCGGAGCCCTCAACCTCGCATTTGACTTTCTTCTTATAACACATCTCACACGCCTGCCCAGACGAACTCAACTAATGCACCTTGTGCCGGGCACAGAGGAAGGGTTCTTACCAATGGGTTACGTCTTCGATTTGCAAGACCATGGCCGTTGCTTAATCGCATACCCTGTCGGGAAACGGAAGAGCTGTCCAGCGCTCCCCAAGATGGCATAATCCCAGCATCGCGCGCTGGGTTTTGCATGTTTCTTTTACTAGATCAAGCAGTTGAACCGCAGGAAGTGTAAGTAGACCGGGCCCGTGCCCCGGTTTCACCAGATCATGTGTTGGCTAGAAACCCGCGGAGTGGATTTGGCACCGGTCCACTACCAAGACCGGAATGTTGGTAGACCCGACGTTATCTTAGGGTTGAGGATATGATGTTTTAAGATGATGAGAAAGCATAAAAATAGAAATTAGAGAAGAAGAGCCGCGGGGATTTGACGGTCAGTCTCAGTTGGATCCCACCGAAGTTGGACAAGGCCGGAGGACGTGGAGGAGCAGACGGGGAAAGCGGGCGAATGATAGGGCCACCCAGCTTGGATCTTAACCTGACGGCCCCATTTGGTTCTCTGATGGTCTGTTAGTGTGGGAAAGGGAAAGCTTTTGCCGCTTATCGGTCAAGATGAATAGACCAGGTATGACTGCACGATTATCCTATATGGTTGGTATATATACACATCGAAAGGGATCATATAGACAAGAAGGAAGTAAAATCCAGAAACGAGAATGAATTTTTTTTTATTTTCCTTTTTCTTTTTTTTTTACACTCTGGTTTCTTTTCCCGGTGCGGGTTGAAGCGCCATTATTAATGTTCAAAGTTGATGTTCCCTTTTCCATTTTTATGTCTCGGGAATCGGCGCTTAGCACATCCGATCCGGGCCCACTATATTTCTTGATATCAAAAGGGTCTGGATGTCTAGAACGCGTTGATGATAGAATCACCACTACAAGGAGCAAGTGGTCGCAGTGCACATACTTATCTCTGTCAAGGAGCTGGTAGTTAGCGGCTAGACCACCCTTGTGAGTACATAACCTGAGCTGCGACTATTCCCTCATAACTAGTGGTCCTTCGGCGTAAACGTCACAAGGCACTTGGCCTTTTGTTTGATTTTTAGAAGCCCGCTGTTGAGCTGAGGATCAAAAGCCACCATGTTATACTTACAGCGAAGAGTAGTCTTCGTGAGTCTTCGTGCCGTGTTTTAGTCGGCCCGGAAACTGCAGAACCCTTTTCCGAATCCACATATCACATTGTTTCGCTCAGCTCCAATCCAGATAACTATAAAGCGAGTCCGTGGGTACTCGTCCGAAAGACGGTTATTCTGACGATGACAGTTTGGAGGAATTGAGCTTATGTCCGCAATTTAGTCCTTAACTTAGCAACTCCACAACGATACATTGACCATTTTGTCTGGGGAGCAGAAGCTGAGTTATTGAACTATATTGCGCCCGAGATGGACCGCGGTTCAATCAAAGGTTTTATCCTCCTCTCGGGCGCAACGCTACCTTGAGTGACAACTGAACAGCTCTTATAGGATCTGTTTTCTTGTAACTCGAACATTTGATATCGAGGGTCGGCTAGCGTGGCAGGAATTTTCGGATTGCTAAAACAGTGATCTTTGGAGAAACTGTTGACCGTGCAATGACCTTGGGTAGGATTGATAATGGGGGCTAGAAAGCGACAAATACCCAGATTTGTCAGTGTATGAGATATAAATCCCAAGTCAAGTAGATCGCAAATGAGTATACTGCACCTGTAGAAGATCTTGCGACTGTAGAGTTGCATCCTCGCTCTATCTGGGGGATATGTTCTCAGCGCGGAACAGGATAGAGCGACTGCTTATCCCTTGTTTCTGCTATTCTGTCAAAGAGACGTGTATCTTCCGTTAGTGTGGCGCATTAATAGATTTTTGGTGTCGATACAAGTTGGTTTCATGTCATCGATTTCATAGCCAAATGAAAGTCCCAAATTTTGTCCGGCACGAAGGCGAACACTGGAAGATGCAGCTTCCAAGTGACGAAAGTAAACAGGCATCTACGGAGTATGCATCTGCACGGATAACGACTGAGGGCTGTCAGGGCCGAATGCCTTACCTCGAGGGTAATTCGAGAGTCTCAAGACGTGTTGGTAGTGGGGACGAGGATTTAGGGTCACGACTGCCCTTGCTTTGGACTGCCTGGATTCCAAGGCTGCCTCTCACGCAATCCGCCAGAGGACTAAATCACGCCATTCTTTACGGAGGACATGTCGAAAGATAGTGAGAAATTGACGAAATACGTTCAGTCATCTGGTGGATCAAGGCGCATGAACTAGATCCATGCGGGTGCATCGTTTCTACAAGCCACTTCTGTTAGAATGGTACGGAGTCCCGGTAGTTTTTGACTGGTATTAAAATCTAGTCGCAGTACAGCACCACGAGGTCTAGGAAAGTTATATACGATTGCGAATATGCATTGGCTTGCAAGCCTTGGAACTGGAGAGCCGTGGCTTATGCCCAGACCGCATGCAGACGCCGCGCTAACAAGGATATTGCTCAGGCTTTAACCCTAGGTACCCGCACATGTCGAAAATTGTCAATTAGCCATTCCCGCCCCCAATAGATGCGAGTGGCGAGTATGTGCGCTTCGAATATAAGAAGGCCTCCCGAACGAAGGCTTTTTCATTGAATACGTAGTATAGATCAGTAGACCAGGAGTAAAAGCACCAAGACCGACCTCAGCTTCCTTCAGCCAAGTCCTGGAGACAACAGATGAGCTGTCCTAGATGGTTCCAGATGTAGATGTCGATGGCATTCATATAAAGAAATCGCCCTATGGATATGACGGAGATTGCGCCTCGCAAATAGAAAGACTCATTGGTAGATTGCGGACTTCACCGTGCGGATCTTATCTTGTATACTAAGCACAGAAATGGTGAATACGCCGCTCAAATTGCCACACCACGAAGTCAGGGTGGAGTCTAACACTAGAGGGCCGGCTTTGTGTGTGAAACTACACCAGAGTGATTAGTAGTGAACCTAATTGATGGTGGGTGGATTTGTAGGTATCATTGAGACCGGAGACCCCTGGCTAACTGTGGATCACATAATCATGACTCTCCTCAGTGTAGATACCTGGGTGTCGAGGTTGTACTGTAGGGTACTCCATATATGTCCCGAGGTCAGTAGGTCAATTCCACGAGACATATTTCTTGTTTTCTTTCCCCACGCCTCTGCTTCTCGGATCATGTTACGTATTGGAAGAGCTGTGTTGGTTGATGTCGACGATCAAACCTTCTCTTTGGAAAAAGTACCACGGAACTGGATAAGGGGAGGGACTGTTTCTTTCCGCCGTGGAGCGCGGGGAAGGCCGCCAGCAAAGGACAATGGAATAATAATAGGATTCAGAACTCAGGAGGTCGAGAAACGCCAAGCTTTGCTGCTTGCCTCGTAAGGTCATAAATCTGGACGAAGTTTAGAGGACGGCCCGCGTCATTTAGGAACGCGTAAGGTATGGGTGTGATTTGCTCAAGAATTGGTATGAAACCATATTTGCTTAGGACTAGAAGTCTGGAACAGAGGTTCCTTTTTCCCCGAAGTGGAGTCTGGTTATGGACTAAGGGATAGGATAGATTGAAAGAAGCCATGGAGATGGAGATTACTGACACGCACTCGGACTTAATTTACTTTACCGTATGAATGGGCCGTCACTGCATGGTTAGGTACTTGAGTACTTGGCGATTATGCCAATCACAATTCTACCTCCAGTACGTCGGAAGTACCTGTAACTTTCCTGATCCACTCAGATATCCATATTTTGACAGTATCTTCCCATACACTAACTGTACTTGACGACACTTACGTTGCAACGTCGTATGGATGAACAGCCATGTGCACGTAATTTTCCTCCCCTTCCCGTCCCCTTATTGATGGGCGGAGAAAGGAAATCCACACATTTGATCATGATATACCCCCTCAATAGGACAAATATCATGTTCTACTGGGCGTTGAACTCTTTCTTCTTATTTTTTATTCTTTATATCTACCACCCATATCCCCCCTTCTCCCCCCCCTTCTGTGTTATCTCTTTAATCCGTCACTACACCTCCGACCTTTTTCCTCCCACCCCCCCCAAAAATACAACAGTTCCCGCCGTTCCGCTGAGAAAGCGGTAAAATTACCATACACTTACTCCCGAGGCTGCAACTGGCGAACCAGAGCGTGCGATCACGACATTTCTCCATTCTATCAGATCATCCACTAGCTTGGACGGGCGTGAGACGATCAGCTTTCTTGCCTTGTTCCAATTGCTCGCTGCCGCTACGCCAGCTGCTTGTCCCCCCAGCTGGTGCTCCATCAATCGTCCATGTCTCTGCGTTGGTGATATTGGTCCTTTGGTGTGGTTCTTTTTCGCTCCTTCTGAGACCCCTCCCGAGCCCCCATCCGGCTTCTATCGTCTCCATTCGTACGAGGTTTATTACCGACTGTGTTCATCCCCGTCGCGGGCCGTTATTGTTGTTGTCACTATTATAATTATTGTTCTAATATTATTTTTACTCGTGCTCTTGCGTACGTGGCTGGTCACCTTCCGCGCTATGCGACTTGCGATGCAGTGATCGCAGAACAGATATCTTTGCGACAAGTCATACAATCTTGGGCCTGTGAGACTCGTGCATTCCTGGACCAATTCCGAGCTTTCCCCCCCTCTTTAAGCCAATCTGGGGTTTGACTTTCTTCTCTGGTTCAAGCTTGTTCTGGCGCCATCGCCTTCCAGTCTGGTTCCTGCTCCTCTCAAGAAAAAAAAGCAGGAAAAACGAAAAAAGAAAAATATTAAATTAAATTAGGTGGGCGCAAGAGGTAATTCAGAAGAAGAAAAAAGAAAAAAAGGAAAATTACCAGAAACTTAAATTAAAGAGGCAAAGACCAAAACGAGGCCATTACCAGAACGGACACAGCTCTAAAACCTCTAAAAACCCATCGCGCAGCCAATATGTCAGATGAGCACATCGCCCGTCAGACAGCGTCAAGCCTCGATAGGCTTGAGAATTTCAACTTCTTACTCTCCCGACACGATCCTGCCCTGGCAAAGAGTCGACATTACTCTTTCGACGCAGACTCAGCCGGTTTGGCTCCTTTTCAGAACCTCAGTATGGATTACGATCAGACCGAGGGAATGGGCGGTATTTCCGTCAGTTCCTACGATAGCATCGAGGATGAACGGAATCCGATCGATGTGAGAGGGTATCCCTATCATGGTAAGTCTGAGCTTTTATGACTCTCAACGTTGCATTGTTTGCGCCATCTGCTCGATCCCTGGTTCGTGTCTCAATTTTGTGGTCTTTGCGGCATTAGGTGGAAATGGTAGAGCTATTGCTGAGGCGCACTCGGATCGTTGTCAAAGCTGATCTCATGCGTCTCCAACGAAAATACCTTCTTTCCCTTTTTCCGGGGAAAAGCTTCTTCTTGTTTGTTTTGCCCATAGTTTGTTTGCAATTGTTAATCTTGGCTGTCATTGTTGCCTTGCTTTCCAACTCTCGTGGATCATTCCATACTCTGTTGCCCACAACCTGGTAAAGTCGAGGTTTAACTCTGGGCTCATGCATATTTTGCTTCATCTGTCTCTCTATTGTGTTTGCCTGTTTCCCCCACTCTTTTCTCTGTCTTCTTATTTGCCGATTTTCTTATACCCCTTTGGTTGTTCTCTCATTTGCACCCGCATGCCTGGTTGATCACGGAGACGAGCACGCAATCCATCACACCAATGACAACGTCGGTAACCTTGTCGTTGGTGTTGCCGGACCCTTAGCCACGCATCTCCCTCTGTTCATCTAAAGCTTCCCTCCAAGGGTCTCATGTTCCCTTTGGAGCTTCCCTCGTATGATAACACTTGCTCCTTCTTTCTGTCTTATCACCTTGGCTAGATTCATGCTTGCAGCGTTGCTGTCCTAGATACTGTCCATCCCGTTACTTACATCTATTCCCAGCAGCTGATAAACACATCAACTACTCCCTCCCCGACCAAATGATCTCATATCCAGCTCACCCGATCTACCCTCCAATCTCTTATGGACCTGATGATCTGGGTCATGCCCCGGGGGCTCTAACTCCCTCCGACGTCTCATCATCCATATCACCCCCGAATGGTCAACTCGGCAACACCAAGTACAGCACGCAGATCCCTGGTGATCACCTCGCTTCTGCACTTTCGCAAGAAGAGCATGTTCGTCGTGCTGCCGAAGAAGACCGGCGGCGGCGAAACACCGCGGCTAGCGCCCGGTTTCGCATGAAAAAGAAGCAGCGTGAACAGACGCTAGAACGGACAGTGCGAGAAACGACTGAAAAGAACGCTACTCTCGAGGCCCGCGTGGCCCAGCTGGAGATGGAAAATCGATGGCTGAAGAATCTCTTGACTGAGAAACACGAAGCGACGAGTAGTCGCATGCCACCACCACCGGAAGACAGCACAGCCTTGAACCAAAAAGGCAATAGTGGCGGAAACGGCCAAAAACACATCCAGCCAAAAAAGAAGGGTGTGGGCACCGATAACTAGAGACTAAAACGAAGAAGTCTTGTTTTCCTGTTGCCTTGTGTATCTTCAGTTTTTCCTTCTGTCCCTCTCCTTCCCCTCCTCCCTTCTGATATTACTACATGCTCATGTTTTAGGCGTTAGTTCTAGCTTCTCTTTTTCGCATCTGTCTTCATATCCTCTATCTTTGTCTGGGCTGGTTATCCGTCCCATCCGTCCTATGATGGAGGCAATTGACGATGTAATGACCTTTGATCATTTGTGTTTTGCTTTGTGCGAGTGCGAGTGCGCGATCTGAGATATGATATCAATTTTTAGGTTGCTTGGTTCTTCTGTTCCTATCTCCCTCTTTTTTTCTTTTTCTCTTGTTCGCCCTCCTGTTCGTTTTTTTCTCATTAGTTATGCTCGGTGAATCTTGCAGGCAAGTTGAGGGGGGGCGGGCGGTCTACGATTTTCTTGTGTCCTCACGGGTCAGAGTCAGGGTCAGGGCCTCCTTCGCCCTGTCACCCACAATTGGAGTATAAGGATGGGGGATTCAGTTATTATCGGTGTTAAATTTGGAAAACCCATATCACACGTTGGACTTGCAACATATGATCCTACCGTGCCCGCAGTAGCTCAGCTTAAACCTCTGATAGGTACTAGAGCTGAGAATCAACTGATGGCGTTCAATTTTCTTTCATCCAGAGTTTATCCTAAGACCGCTCCGCGTATAGATTGCAGGCGAAAGGTATACAGGATGTATGAATCACACACACACACACACACACACATATCTATATAGAGGATCCGGCACATCCGGGGAGGTTGGCTTTTGTGACTTGAGATATATATGGGAAGCCTTTCTTGAACATGCATTCGCAAGGGACTCGGACCTGGTCAGGCTGCGATGTTGTCTTGGTCTTTTTCTTTTCATTTTTTTTTTTTTGGGGTTACAGCTGTTCTATCTTGGCGCTTACTACAGAGTACTGGCTACTACTGCTACCTTTTGAATAGTGACTACTAGTATATGCATATCGGGCTTGAGCTTTCCACCATTGGGCGATAAATCTAACCAGAAAGAAGGCACTGTACTCTACTATAATCCACAGGCCGCCATTGTAAGTCTATGAAAAGAAACGATATGAATCTCAGGGAGCAGAGATGCCCTCTTGAGGAACTGAAGCCTGAGTTAGATGTATACACAGATACCCAGTCTTACGGAGAACAAAGCAGCTTGATCATATAGACGACACGTATGAATGCCCTACAAGTACTACGGAGTACGTAAGTAACAGGTGAGGAAAGTGATGGACAGGTCACTCTTTGGAAAAGTATACTAATCCGCCACGAACATGGAACACGTACGGTACATACAGAATACATACACATACTTGTACATATATACCCGGATAACAATAAGGGAAAAAAAAATAAAACACCCCCTCGAGTGATGTTTCATCACTCTTGACCGAAGAAAAGCGGTCAGTCACAAAGCGCGGAATCCGGGGAACAAACTAAGCAACGGGACCATGGCGTTGACATCATACTCGTTCGGCTATTTAAGGTCCAGAAGGAAATTCCGGGGCGACCAACGATAATCAGTACCAAATCAGTCCACGATTACGGGAGCGTACGAACGTTAGTGGAGTTTCGAGTTGTCTTGTGAGATGAAATAGTCCCGAGATTGGCATTTGCGATGATACCGGCGGTCCTTGTTGTGTCAAGCTCTTAACGCTTGCTTTGGATGATCTTTGGTACTTTCAGGAATTGTGGTATCTGTCTGCTATGTATGCACTTCGTATGGACGGAGTACTACGGAGTAGTCCATGTTCTTATCGCAGATGGGACACAATGGTGATCGTCCGCGATGTTACTTGACTTGAGACAGATCGACGCCAATGACCAATCGGAGATAGCGAGGGGGTTTAGCAAGTGGACCTGTCTTGAGTTGAAGCGGGAATTAAACGTCGTCATCCGTATCTACTCCCGATACTTGAAGTATAGGAGACAATGATTGTCTCATGAACTATGATCTTCTACCCGAAAAGAATTAATTACTCTCCCTATCCTGAGCAGCCCGAATGACCAATTCATAATCGCTATACGAATATTCTGTCGCAGATAGTATGGTATTACATTATTCAATTAAACAATGACCCCCTCCCCTCTCCGACGGTCTGACCCATAGTACCACAAATATTCCGGTCTCTCGTTTCTTTGCCCCGTCGGTTCATTTCTTCGGTCAGTATAAACATTGTTCTCCATCCGTGAATAGTAAGAGGGTCATGACATCATCAGCCGGATCCGAGGCGTACAACGGCCAGAATGGGCATCTGGATACAATCTTGTCAGGTAGGTGCCCTTGGAAGGGTTGAATTAAGAGTAGTAAATAACACACGGGTGGTAACATGAACAGAGATGAAATCACGGCAAAACGACAACATTACATCAAGCGGGACTTCAATCCGGAGTATCACAAGGATGAAAAGACGAGGATTCGACAAAAACCATCAACGTATCATATACCAACGTTGATGTTCGTGGCTGCAATCGGCCGCCTTAGACGCTGACAGGCTCGCGTTCTTCTTCTCGACCCCGAGCCTCTCCGTCCACGGTGCTGGCGACTTCCTCACCATCTTCAACATAAGTTGCGTGTTGATCAGCAGGGACCCACGAGTCCCGATCGCCCCTCATGGGCTGGTCCTGAGTAGAAAGGTCGACGCCTTCGCGGTTCTTGCCGATAGCCTCTCGGCGACGCTGAGATAGGGTGCGCGTGCGCTGTGACACGTCGGACTTGACGGCGGCCTTGGAGGTAACCCAGTTGGCGAGTGCCTCTTCGCAATCCTGGATGATAGCCTTGCTGGCATCGTATCCATCGTACGAGGCACGAGTTTCACCGGGGGTGACTGGAGTATCGTCGATGAGATCCAGAAGGTGTTTGCCGTAGCCGGCGATAATGGCCACCTTCTCACAGTGCTCACGGAGTGCATCGAACTGGTACTGGAAAGCTGCCTTGAGCTTCTCGCGAGTAATGTTGGAAAGCTGAGCCTCGGCCACGAGGGACTCGGCCTCCGCGCGAACCAGCTCTTGCTCGAGAACAACGATCCGGGGAGAGTTCGGGTCCTTGTACTTGAGCTTGGCGATCTCATCGGTGATCTTTTGCTTGCCTATATAGTTCGTCGTAAGGATCAGTCTAAGCTATGGGACTTGACCAACGAAGATCAACTTACGGTCTCGGCTGGGCTGAACGGAAGCTTCGATGTTGCGAATGCTCTTGATGGTGACACGGTACTGATCATAACGGTCGACATAGAGGTCTTCCAGCTCTCCAATTTCATAGAGCAACACGCCGATCTTGTCCGTGATGTCGGACACGTCCTCATCACAGTTCTCACCCCAGATGGACAATTGTTGCTGTGAACATGTTAGTCGCCATTCCCATGGTTCATGTGCATCTCTCTCGCACGTACAGCGGTCTCCATGCGCTCCTTGGCTACCATTTCCATACTGCGCATGACATTCTTCTCCATCTTAACGAGCTGGGAGAGCTTCCTTGCAAGGTCGGGTCCGAATGCGCCGGCGGCATTCTTACGGAAGGCATGGCCTGGGCCAGTAGGCATTGTCAGCACCATTTGCGTAGCAGCTTCAATCGCTGCCGGCGGGGCTGCTCGCAAGGGAAAACTTTCATTTGCCGCGAGACAGCCGAAGGAACTCGGACACACTCACCGAAGCCGCCTTTCCCAATCCATCGGTTTGTCTTGGTCGTGGACAACGGCGGAGGCGGATTCTCAATCTGCGATGCGGTGGGCATGCGCGATTGGCGCATGGAGTAGGTGCGATGCATAGCTACGGTTTGTATGGGAAGCTAGATGCAAGCGAACGAGGTAAAAGGATACAGAGAAATCAATCAGAAAAAAAAAATTTGGAAGAGATCGTCTGAAAATGGATGATGCGGTTTCTTTGAAGGTTCGCTTTGCGCAGGAGTGACGTGTACCAGTGGGCGCAACGGGATGCGACGGAAGGACGATGAGGGCACGAGGGGGAAGGAACTGCAACCGGGACCGACGCAGTGAGCGGACGAGGTCTCTGTACGGAAGGGCGAAAATCGTATACTTAGGTCAAACCGACCCAAGGAACGGGGGATGGTACTTTTGTTTTTTTTTCCTGGTTGAACCTCTTTTCCAGCCTTCTTTTCCCCCTTAATCCAAGTGAGAAGAGAGCAGTGGAGTTGGTCTGTTGCAACAGGAGAACCGCCGGTGACGTCGAGACTACTCGGGAGGCTAACCCGATTCGGAGATCACGTTAGGCAGTGATGAACAATTAATGTCGAGCGTTTTTCTCAATTGACAAGTGATTTTACATGAGCTCAAGTGAACATGAACTTGCAGTTCCAGCAGATCGTCTTCTGCACCGAGGGGAAGGAATCTGCGGGGGAAGGAAAGAAGAAGAATATAATCTGTTTCGATGATCATCAAGAGCTAAGCCGTGATCTGCGACGTCATTGCGAGCCCAAAAAAAGAAAAAGGACATTTTTGTTCATTTCACTGATGTCATCGATTCCCGTCTCTGAAAAACTCTTTTCTTTGAAGAGACGAAAAATCTCAAACGGATGTCATCACGCACTGTTAAGGTTACCTTGTCCAGGACCCTCTTTTGAAAATGAATTCTCATCTTGATTTGGTTTATTTATAAACAAGTCGATCCATCGTGGTTCCAATTCAACTTCGTATCATAGCGTTTCACCCGGTATGACATGCTTTGCAACAGTTTGTACAACCACGCATGATATGTGATATGCGACTAGTGTATAAGGTTAATTTAAATTCCAGATCGAGGTCAAATGATCGACTGTCTCCGCATTAGGGATCGTCGTCAGATCGCATCCCGAGCTATTGGCTCCCAAGCAACATTATGTGGCTATGACTAACAGTGGGGTTGTGCGCCATCTATAGTTTATTCGAGCTTCTATTACATAACAACCTGGGAAGGAAGAAGGGGGAGAAAAAGAAAAGAGGAATAATAATAAAGTAGAGAGCGAGAGAGTTTTATTTACTTTTTCGTAATAGTTCGTCGGGTCCTTCGTTTCTTTCCGGTGACATCATCACCACTCACACTATCCTTAGCCTGTGCACTCCGTTTAGTACCTATATTTTTTTTCTCCTGTGGAGGCTGGGAGGAACCAGTGCTTTCCAACTGCTCCGCTGGGTTGGTCTCAGCTCTGGTACATTGTGTAGACTGGACTGCCTCGCTCCTGGCTTCGTGTCGAAGTCGGCTAAATGCTTTTTCCATTCGGCTCTGGCCTCCGCTGCGGACACGCGGTGCAAAAGCGCCGGCCCCCTGAGGTCCTTGGAAGAAAGCTGTGATGTTAGACTGCGTGCCTTCCTGCTCTCTGCGGTTCATGTCACGGATAACTGGCACCAGAACTTCATCGGTCCGTTCCTGACTCCACCCGATCGTCGCCATCAGAAAATTGCGCAGGCCATGTAAATCGGGGACTCCCCACTGGAAGGGAGATGGATCCGAATCGACTTCGGGTTCGAGATATGCCACATCAACCTGGCCATTCGGGAAAGAAGGTGACAGAAAGATTTTAGAAGCCTGCTTCCTGAACTTCTTGTAAAAAGCAGCATGCTCCCCGTCGGATACGTTCACTCCCATTTGAACTTGGGTCCACCAATCACGGAACTCTTCCAGGTTAGAAAACTCAGTGAGAATTTCCAGCGCTGTCACCGGCCCAATGCCGGGGATACCTTCTGTATAATCACTGCCAAGTAAATGGGCAAAGCTGATAAGTTTCCTTCGATGGAGGGCATATTCTTTCTCCAAATCAGAAGTTAGATAGCATTCGACAAATTTCCCTTGGTTGAACATGTTCTTATAGACGCGTGTACCCCCGAACAAGAAAATATCGCTATCGTCAGTGATGATGCCATCGACGAGGCCCAATGTCACCAGCTCTGCACATTGAGCCTCGGCTTCCATTGGTGCGGTAATGTAGGGCAAGCCAAACAGCGTTAGAAGTTGCTGACACTCAGAGATCATGATTTGAGACACTTCATCCGCGTCTCTGCGATCCTTCTTCTGTTGGGATCGCAGCTGTTTGAGCTCCTGCTCGTAATCGAATGTATTCTCGGTGTGCGACGTAGAGTTCAATGTAGCCGCGAATCGGACATGTTCTTCACCTTCAGCCGCAAGCTGTCGCATCAGTTCCTCATCTTCTGGGTCTGAAAACCCATCATCTTCCCCAGTTATATCTTCAAGCTGATCAACTCGATGGCTTTGTGACTCCACCTCAGGAACGACAGTGCCAGTTGTCGCCTCTTTTGGGTGTAGCTCAACATCTTCAAACTCGGGAGATGGCGACGGTTGGGTACGCAACAGGTTTGCCTGTTCATCCCTACTAGCCTCTATCTCATGGGAAGTAGATGGTTCATGGGCAGTCTCTGCAATAAAAACTTGTCCGGGAATGTTGATAGCTTCAGGAGCTGTCGTAGAAATCTCACGGAATGCAGCCGTGGTATCCTTTGTCGGGCTCTGTGTCTTGTTCAGTGTTTGTGTAGCCCGAGGCTGTTTGCACTCCTCAGAGTTTGCTTCCAAGTCAATCACCTCATCTGAGCCAGGAAGCATATCAACATCAATGACTGTGGGGGTTTGATGATTTTTCAGGAAAACATGGTCTGGGGTCATGGTACTATCTCGATGAGTTTCCAATGGGCTATCATCGTTATCGGCAATAAACTCGGCAGTCGAGCTCCCCCCAGAAAACCAAGGTGGTAACGGTTGTTCGGTCATTGTTTGCTTTGCTGGTTCTTTTTCGAAGCCACCTGCATGCTGATCGAGCTCTTCATGTTGGGGCTTTTTTATTTTGAAGGGCTTGTCAAGCTTGATAGACTCAAAAGGGAGAGGCCCATTAAAAGGATTATTCGAGACTGGGTCTTTCTTTGCCCTCTTCGACTGCGCCAGGGCAGTTGCAAAGTCTATGCCATTGTCATCACCATCGCTTTCAGGACTGAAACCTAGTATGGTTTCCTTGAGCGGAGCTAGAGGAACACTGCTACGATTGATCGAGATGTCTGGCATGTCGTTATCGTGTTGATCTAGAGGAGATGTGGGTCTCAGCGACATTTCTATCGCTTTTTGAAGATCCTCATCTTGACTCTCTCCATCCATCTCAAATATATCATCAATAGCGCGACGGCCGCGGCGGTGTGGTCTTTCGTGCTCATCCTCTTGCACGAAAAGAGAGTCATCTTCATGGCTCTGTGGCAGACCATGAGTGGCCCTTCGCTCAGGGTTCTCCTGCATTTGCTGTCTGATCGAAGCATCGAAGATGCCTTCTCGAAGGAACTCAAGTTTGGGAAGTCGGTTGAGGCCTTCTATGGGCACATCCTCAAAGCCCCCGTCGTCTTCCGAATCTTCATCCTTCTCTGGACATATTTCTTGCTTGCCATACTGGTCGACATCGATAGGTTTGTGCTCCCGCCCTTCATCCTTATTTCCTACGACACCCAGCGCCCAGCCACCTTCCACGGCATTGTCCTTGACCAACACATACTCCTTACCGCGCTCTCCAGCAATCCGCTGGCCCGATTTATAGAAAGCATCTTCACCATTCATGCCGTTAATATTCATCAGACGTTGAGTAAGGTCATTTCTTTCTTTCACCCTCTCAATTTGGAACTTTGAGAAGGCCATACGATCGGGAAACATATTATCAAGCTGCTCCTTAGAATAACCCATGCGCAGCCGACTTCGTAGTCGCGCGGCATTTAGGATATTATATCGATCCGTGGCAGGGAGACTCATGAAAAATGGGCTATCGAAATCGATCTTGGAGAAGTCGTATAGGTTAATGTCTTCACCTCTGTAAAACTGCTTTGCATATTCTTCAAGTTCTTCACGAGACATAATCCGTGGATCGTTTGGAGCCCCCATCTCTTCCAGTGAAACATGTAAATCCGGGAGGTGGTAAGCATCCCTTTTCCTGAATGACCGAGCTTGGCGCTTCTCTTTCTCGGTCATACCAGCGTCTTCGACATACACCGGAATATCCGGGACTTCCTCTTGCTCTCCAGACACTCCATTTTTGAGTCTGGCTGCCTCTTCCTCCGCGGACCTTTGCAACTGCACGGCAAGCAGCTTCCCGGCGGTTCGTACGGCATCCTCTCTGCGACCCTCCCGTCTTTTCTTCCTGCCAGCTATGGTTTGTCTTTTAAGAATCGGTGCACCACCGTCAAACACGAAGACCGGCTTTATTCCGAAGTAAAGCAGCTTACAGATGCGACGGAAGAAGCCAATGATATGAGAATTACGAAGGGCATTCCCTTCTTTATCACGTACAGCTTTCAAGAACTGATATATCCAGATCGACGCATCAACCGCTAGGCGCTTCTTATTCAGTGTCTCTAGTTTTATAGGCCGCGCGCAAGGTTGCAAAACGGTCCAAAGCCCATGGACACCCATGCTGACCTAGCGAATGGCGGATCTAAGGTTGCGTCATAGTAGTTACCCTCGAGTACATGACCTTATGACGCACTCATAGACCAAACAGTGAACAGTATACACGGTCTTGAAGGCTCACGAAAGTCGACGGCCCAACCGGTGGGACGACCCTCGACACTGCGATAACTAGAGATGATTGTAAGTAACTCCCTCGGCTCGTGTCGCCACTGCGTCGACACGAGAACCGCGATATCACGTGCTCAATTATGCCTCTTTCTGGACGCTTGCCTAACGTAACTGGTAAGCGAGCGACGCATGTAAGCTGGCGACGCAGCTCTATATTCCATACAACTCAGCCCTTTTTACTACTGGAATATCTCAGCAACCACAAGCTATAGTAACATAATATTCGAAGATAGTATATATTAGTACTTTATCTTTAATCTATAAAGGAAAGAAGTTTATATAAGCGATAATTCTTTCAGTATCAAATATTACACCTGTATTTTTGATATTTCTACTGGAAAGTGTAAGACTAAAAATAGAAAAATAAGAGAAAAATATTTCAAGCCTTTTTTACCCTATAATATATTATATATAAAATATTATATCTTAGCAATCTCTGGTTGCTGAGATATCCAAGTAGCAAAAAGGGCTGATTTGTATAGAATACAGAGCTGCGTCACCCGCTTACATGCGTCGCTCGCATACCGATCACCTTAAGGCAAAATTTTTATGTATTACATAATCCACCTCGCTAGTTATCGATAACTTAGAAATTCTGGAATTTTGGAAATGATAATCGAGGCATGTGGGGAAATGCTGCTGTAGAAATTTGAGCGTCAGGAAACTTTTCATTCAAAAATTCACGGGCCTGCAAACTAATGTATTGTTCCTTGCATCAATGCATCTACCGCTCGAGGTTGGTAATCGATATTCAATACCGCACAATGCAACCACTAATCCCACCCTTAGCACATAGATGTCTGCCTCCCTGTAACTGCATTGAAAGCACTTGATTTGGGAGATGCAAGACTTGTTTTGCAAGGACAAGGGCCGTACTCTCGGTTGATTGATGATGGCAGTGGTAAAATGTTGGCCGAATTAAAGACCTTCAAACGAAACAACGTCCATGGGTTCATAGTTCTGAATCAGAAAGACGAGCAAACGGGTAATTCATACGCACAAGTTCTAGCTTGGGGAGGTGAATCGTTGAGAATCATCGACTTGTATTTTGCTAGAAGTGAGGCTGCTGAAACCTCTGAAGCGTCCTTGGTTCCTATCAGTGCGGAATATCTAGCACCAGATTGGATTCTGGCTGGGTGTGCGCCTGACTCCATTAATGGAGTGGACAGAGCTTACGTGCTGACCGCCCATAATAGTCTCCTTGGGCTTTATGTAGTGCATGGAGGCTCGTCGACATATCCGAAATCGATTCATCTTCAGCAGCTCGTGGCTGGAGTCAAGTCTATTCTCTACTCAGCCGATACTATATCATGTTCGGCATCGCACGTGCTGATTGCTGCTGGAACCGTCTTTGGTGAGGTGATAGTCTGGTCTTGCTTTTTGGATGAAAGTGTGCATCTTAGTCCCAGTGCTGTTGGCTCCATCCATCATTTCTTCACCGGCCATGAGGGATCTGTTTTTGGGGTCCGGATATCTCCTGCAATTGCCTCTTTACCTGGTCGCCCCAGTGGACGGTTCCTGGCGAGTTGTAGTGACGATAGAACAGTCAGGATATGGGATATCTCAGACTGTGAGTATGCCTCTTCTAATGATCCTTCAGCCTATTCGACGGACGGCTTTGAACTTCGAAGCACCGGCTTTGGTGGAGCAGCTACTGGCGATGGCCTCGGCTCAGAATCCTGTGTGGCAAGTGCCTTTGGTCATAAAGCTCGGATATGGAGTGTTCATTTCTTGCCTACAAGAGCTGAGGATCAATCCAATATGAGCCTACTCTCACGTGGTGAGGATGCAACTTGTATAGTTTGGAATCTCAGTTGGGAACCATCAGCTCCGAGGCCGAAGTTTAGTTTAGGTCAAATCTCTTCATGGCATAACCATACCGGAAAGCATATCTGGTCTTTATGCATGCGCAGCACTGCTAAGGATACAACGGTGTACACTGGTGGTGCTGATGGTGCTATAAAAAGTTTCAAGATAGAGGTGAATGAGGAATGTGCAGTTGTTTTGCCGAACAGAAACAACAGCATTACTGCCTCGGCTGGTCCTGGAATATCTCAATCTAGGGTCGATAAATCAGTTAGGGCCTTCACCTTTGTTACACCACAACATTTCCTAACAACGACTACACGTGGCGAGGTGCAGGTTTGTTGGATCAGCCCGGAGACTTCGACTGAGAGCGTCATCCTCAAGGAAACACTATTTCATGAAGAAGATCTCTCGTCTTATTGTGCCATAGCTTCCCTGCCACAGTGCGGCATTGCGCTTTTGGGCAATGCACAAGGATTAGTCCGTCTGTACAATCACAACACCAGATCACTGCTCAGAATTGTTGAAAGTGGCCCAAGGCCATTGGTGCTTTTTGCCCTTGATTATAACCGTGGTACTTCCGATTCGCCTGAGACCTTATCTTTCATCTCATCCCACGAACAGGAAGACCATTTGAGTCTAATCAAAATATCACTATCAGAAGGCGAGGTATCACGAATTGAGACCCTAACCTTAGCACTTCCTCATAGTTTTGGAGTAACTTGCGCAAGCTTGATTTGTGGCAACCGATTTGTGGCTCTTGGTAACGCGCACGGTTCCCTTATCCTATATCGCGTTGGGAACACGATGCCTATTCAACAACCCATATGGAATCGTAAGATACATTCTAAGGAAGGTATCAGTCATATATCATCGTTTTCGTCACTTTATGGAGAAGCCAGCCCTTCCCTTAATTATTTCCTGACTTGCGGTCGATCTGGAGTCTACTGTGTGCACGAGGTGGAGACCGACGGAGATTCAGAAAACTTGGCTACTGTTCAAACGATCCATCGCTCCAATGCTACTCGGACCATTGAAATAGAGGGTGCTTACATTGACAGGCATTCCCAGGATCTTATGCTGTATGGGTTCCATGGAAAAGAGTTCGTTTTGTGGAACGAGACCACGCAATCCGAAATTGTCAGACGCTTATGTGGTGGCGCGCATCGGAGATGGGCCTTCCAACCCAACCCGGAGGAACCTGGTTCCGGCTTGTTTATATGGATCCAAAAGAATCTCAATGTTCTTCAAACTCGGGGTGATGCTAACCGTACTCTACGTGCGGGAGGACATGGACGAGAGATCAAGGCTATGGATGTAGCGCACTCGGCCGATGGCCCTCTCTTTGCAACTGGGGCGGAGGATACTATCGTGCGTATATTTGCACCGACAAAACCAAACGAAGAAAAGCTGTGGGGCTCCTTTAAATGCCTGCGGGTACTGAAAAAGCATCTAGTCGGACTGCAGCAAGTCCGCTGGTCAAAGAAGGGGAATTATCTCTTCACCAGTGGCGGGAGCGAGGAATTCATCGTTTGGCAGGTTCGCTCGATTCCCTTGTTTGGACTTGCGACAAATGCAGTAGCCTCAGTCCGGGATGATCCGTTCTCTGATCTTCGAGTGACCGGTTTTGATGTATTGCAGGTGGATGAGAATACGTCGGACGGCAACTTCCTGTTCTGCCTGGTATACTCTAACTCCACACTCAAGGTAAAGTTCCGTGGCCATTGCTCTCCTATATCCTTTGCTAAATCATGTAGATATTCCACTATTCTTCGACGGTCGACGGTGGCAACTTCACCCTACTAGCGGAGGGCACTTATACAAGCAATTGCCTCACCGAAGCATGCTTCCTGCTGCGCGGCTCCTCCCTGAGCCTTTTAACAGCCTCCACAGATGGTTATTTCACATTCTGGAACTTAACCTCGGTCTTAGAGCCGTACTATACCATCTCTTCGGCTCTTCGCCTGAAACAGCCCATCGGCACGTTTTCGATTACCCCCAAGAACATCTCATGCGAAAACAGATACCAGACTCATTCGAACAGTATCAAATGCCTGGAGCTTGGCCATCTATCGGATGCAATTTCTCTTGTCATTGCGGCCGGTGACGACAATGCACTGACGCTCTCCCTACTGAACACGAACTTCACGAGCAGTGAGGCTGGCGATGCTACCACAATCACAATCCCCGACGCCCATGCAGCATGTATCACAACGGGCAAGATACTCGTGCGACGTCAATGTCAGGACAAGGGAACCATGCTGGCCGTTATTGCTACTTCAGGTAATGACCATCGGGTCAAAATCTGGTGCGCTGAGGTAGATGTTAAGAAAACCGGAGCGAACGCAATCCAAGTGCAAATGATAGCAGATAGATATAGCTCCGTAGCAGACATATCATCTCTGGGTCTCATCCGCGAAGATTCTGGAGAAACCAAGCTTCTTGTCTGTGGTGTTGGCATGGAAATGATGGGCATCCGACTACCTTAACTTGTGCAACCGTGGTTACGATGTGATGTTTGCATGGATCGGATGCAGAGAATATAGAGAGTTTCAATATTAAGCAGCCCAGTTTTTTAACCAAGTATGCTGCTAACTGACATTAACATCAGTGTATAAGTAAGAGCTGTCTTGTGAATGTTGGTGACAGCCAGGGTGAGCACGCCGAGAACACGTCCACATGTCGCCACAGCGACTATACTCACAGACATGCAAGCCTGTGCTTGAACTTCCTACCAAACTCATTTTGCACCTCACCACATTGTAATCCAGTTCACATCAAGATGCAGTTCCTCGGTTTGAAACAGAGATACCATGCGGTACGCCTGGCACTCATCACACGTTGGCATGGATGTAAACAAGCATGCCGTCAAATATTTACACAAGATGAACACTTAAGCCCTACCATCTCAGTGGTGGGAATGTCAACACAATATGGTGCCACTCTCCTCCAGCGAGATTTCCTCGAAGCACTCTTATCTCGCCATTGTCGTCACTCTCCGGCATAAGGCTACTAGATTGTCACCCCTTTTCCTTTCTATGGTCGCTGGTTAACTTGCTATCTAGAGTATCGAAAACATTGGATCTCATCGAAAGATCTGGTATTAGGCATTTGTGCAGCGTCCTTCCCCTGGATGATCCAATATGGTTCCAGCAGACGTTACCCACGATCGCGGATACCGATGCTCTATTCAAGGAACACGCCATTTCACCAGTTTGTCGTGCTGCAAAGGGTACTATTACAGAATGGGGCGGTTCTAAGTACGACATAAATCATGTCGTAGCTGTGACATGTACGAATACTGCAAACCCGGGGTTTGACATCACATTATGTAGCACGCTTGGCCTTCGTCCCACAGTCCACCGCACTCTCCTACATGGTCTTGGATGCGCCGGTGGAGTCTCAGCTTTGCGCATTACTCATGATCTTCTCGCAGGAGCGGCTCTTCAGGGGCTGCCAGCGCGAGCTCTTGTTGTTTGTGCTCACTAACTGGATAGGTACCAAAGTACTCGCAAGAGGCCCCATCTGGAATTTACTTGGGTTTCGAAGCCTGATAGTCAATGAGTCTGAGGGTTACAGCGAGCTTAACGTTGGACCTTTTGGTGAGTACATCTATTCCTCGACTGCATACCTAGTCTCTCATGATGCATATTCTATGTTCCAAATCCTGCGGTTTGCCTAATGAAGTTCCCATCACCAAGGGTTTACACCGATTATATCAATGTTTATCACTAGACTCGTCTCTTCTGAGTTGTTTCTTAATTTCACGGCTCTCATCCACTCAACTCCAAGCCTTCGCTCTGACCTCACTCGTGGTTTGCCGAACTCGTACAACTGGGCTTCAGATCTCCCAGGTCTTTCTTCCTTGAACTTTGCTCAGGAAGCATTAGTTCTCTGGAAGTCTAACCTGTCCCATAGCCACGCAGTCTACAGCTCTAGGGGTAATACGATTTCCTCCACTGTTTTCAACATCCTCGATTATATGAGGCATCACGGGAATGGCGGTGATCATAGTGCAAATGGAAGAGATGAAGTCATAGCGTTGGCAATTGGACCAGAAGTTATATTGGAGATGGCAGTCCTGTACAAAGTCTCCACAGAGAACCTGCGGTATGCGGCACTCTGGTGTGAGTGATCATTACTCTAAATACTGGAGCAAGCTTTTGTGGCTGCGCTTTGTTAGTCTCGGTTTATGTCTTGTACTAATATTGGAGCTCCCGGGTTAGCTCTTTTTCAATTCAATCCCAACCAGCTGATGAACATTACATATAATGTCCTAGTCTTGACATCAATGACTTTGTTTTTCCCCGTACAGAAGGTAGATTCTAATATATTGACAGCGAATCAACACTATATCTGACTTGGTGGATGAATTGAGATTTATATGCCGTGACCAAAACGGCATAGGGTCCGAACCCCACCGGCAGTTGAAACAACGTCTGACATCTGCAATCAAGAATTGCGATCTTCACTCCCAATTTCCCCTCTCCTCCGGGGTAAGGAAAGCAGTTTTTTTTCTTTTCTTTTTTTCTTTTTCTTTTTTTTTTTTTTTTTCCAACGCGCTGTGTCTCGGTGAAATTATTTCCGGCACCAAACGAGACCAAACATCCAGAGAGGAATTCCGGGTAAATTGGAGCTCTGAGGGCCAAGCAGACCTCAGTCGCCGATGGACTCCACTTGGTAATGCTGAATGGATACTAACTGACGCTCTTCAAACATGCCATTCCTTAGTTCTTGTTATTCGAGGATCCCTGTGACGCTTTCAGTGGAGTGTATAAGTTAGGTTTGCAGGACCGTGAGCATGCATGCCTATAAAAGCGTGGACGGAGACCCTCCGGTTCTGCAAGAAGAGGGGTTGTTTCAATAAGCTAGTGATCTTTGCGAACAGTATCTTTCTACCGTTCGAACTGTATCTCTTACCATGAAGCTTCTCAACTCTTGGCTCATGGCAAGCGCCATCTCCACGGTTGCTGCGCGGCCGTGGCCGAGAGCTGTAAACACTACGAGTACTTACTTCTTTACATTGTATGGAATGTCTTTTCACGACTATTCCAAACAAACTAACTCTATGCAAGTGGCAACTCATATACGCAAACCGGTTTCAGCACCACTGGAGAACAGCCATCTCCTTCGAATCCCATGGGAAATCCCACCTTGGGTGAGTGTTACATAGTACACCGATTGTACTATCCACGTATTGACGCAAGACCAGGAACTGGCACCACCACCGGGGGTGAAAACTGGGTTGGATACCTGACGACGGGGCAGAATGCGTCTCTCGTCCTCTCCTACAATCTGGCAGTGGGCGGTGCTAGCATTGACAATTCGCTCGTCCAGGGTTCCACAGACGTTGACCTTGCTTCCCAGGTCGATATTTTCGACGAAACATACAGCATCAAGCCGGCTTCTGCGCCTTGGTCGGCGGATAACTCCGTTTTCGGGTTCTGGATTGGAATCAATGAGTATGTCCCCTGTTCAAGTGAAGCCGTTTGAAACAAGCCCAGTACTCACATGTTGAGCTTAGCATCGGAAATGCATTCTACAATACCGATGCCAACACATTCACACCGAAGTTGATCGCGCGGCTTGCTTCCCTAGTGGAGCAAATCTACAGTGCTGGAGGTCGCAAATTCCTCTTCCTCAATGTGCCTCCTACGAGCCGAAGCCCCATGTTCATTAATCAGGGCAATGCCACTGTTGAGCAGCATGCGGCATATTTGGCTGTTTATAATAAAAACCTTGAATCAATGGTGGATGAGTTTAAAATTAATCATACAGACGTAAGTATAATTACGGTGTGTTCGTAGTATTGGAAGACTAACCGACCCTGCTGCTAAAGGTTACTGTCGCATACTACGACTCTTGGTCTTTCATGACAAAGATCCTTGATAACCCCACAGACTACGGTTTCCCCGATGCTACTTGCATCAATGAGGACGGCACCTCCTGTGTCTGGTGGAATGATTATCATCCTTCTGCTAAGTATCATCAGCTCCAAGCGGGGGATATGAAGAAGGTTCTGCAACCTTTGGGGGCATGGTAGCTTACGGGATATCCATTGTACATAAGCTTATTAGTTTGACTTGATGTGTAAATGAAAGAGTGTGTATGGGGGATTATTGCTGGCCTCCTAGTAGTATCTGTCGTTGTATCTCTACGTAAAAGAGTGCCCCCTTGTTAACTGATCATTGAGACAGGACACTGATAATCTGATTTAATTTTCGGATGACAGCGCTTACACGTGTATGACTTAGATTATCATACGATTGATCCTTGCATATTCTTGTTTGGTGTCGAGTCAGATGTACTATTGTCACGATGCATATGACACTGGATGCTGCGATGGACAAGAGAAAACCAGAATTATGCAAGTAAGCCCGACGGGACCATACCTAGAAAGGCACGGACGTGCAAAGATTGCATCTCCTCATCTGTCCCATTCAACTAGTCGGCTTTTGTTAGGCTGTCGATCGCTGTCACGCGTACCTGAAGATTTCATCTCCGTGGCGTTTCATCCAAGGGCCAAGACGGCAAAAGGGAACCCTACATAATTTCCAAGCCTGTCCCCGGATAATTCTGATACCCGTTGACTGAACGAATTGTTACCATCGTCACTCCACTCTTCGAAGTAGTAATTGATTAAACGTGGGTCTGGTTTTCTCAACAACCGAGATGTCAAGGGCTTTGCGTCCCTACGGGCCGAAACCCCGACATCCAGTGTGTTTGTTCCTGATCGGCATGTTTCAAGTCATGGATTCCACGAATCAGTTCGTGCTATCTGTAGTGGAAGGAGGAAGTCCCGACGCAACAATGTGGTGAATTATTATCTTTGTCCAGATCCGACTGAGAGGACTTCTCGGACTTTTGGTATATATAATCCTGCCAGTTCCCCGGCTATGGAAGGATGATTGGGACACAAGCAGTTGATCTGTTGTCAATCCTTCTACATTCTTCTCCTTTGTCTCGTTTGTTCCATTCTGAGCTCTCGTTCCAATGAAATTCCGTACCCTTTTCTTTGCTGCCGTAGCTGGCTCTGCGGTTGCTGCTCCTCTGGCTAAGGAGCAAAAAAAGAGGGATTCCGTCTTCCAATGTTAGTCTGCCCTTCGTCATCTTCTTTCTCTTCTTTCTTCTGTCTTTAGTTTGCAATCACTGTGCTAATAAATAATACAGGGATCGGCGCCAATGAGTCGGGAGCTGAATTCGGCGAGAACAACCTCCCGGGTGTATGGGTATGTGGCCTCGAACAAATGATCACCATACGGTATGAGATGTTCGTTCACCAACTGAGTGTAATTGCTACAGGGTACAGATTATATCTTCCCGGATGTCTCGGCCATTACCACCCTGATTGATAAGGGGATGAATATATTTCGTATCCAATTCAAGATGGAGAGGTTGGTTCCAGACTCGATGACGGGGGCATACGATGAGGCCTACCTGCAGAACCTGACAACAGTAAGTTGTTTATCTGCCAAAAAGAATATCTGGGGTATTGACGATGCTTTCAGGTGGTCAATGCCGTCACTGATGCGGGTGTCCATGCTATCCTGGATCCCCATAACTATGGCAGATTGTGAGTATCTCGAAGGCCCCGAGCTCGCGTATTACGGAGGTTTAAAGATGAGGATGCCGTCTGACTTGATCATGACAGCAATGGCGAGATCATATCCACTGCATCTGACTTCCAAACCTTCTGGAAGAACCTGGCAGGACAGTTCAAGAGCAACTCTTTGGTTATCTTCGATACCAGTACGTCGGCCCAACCGGGGTCTTTCCTATTATCACATTGAGTTGGGTATCCTCGATCCTAACATCAAATCCACAGACAATGAATACCATGACATGGACCAAGAGCTGGTCCTGAACCTCAACCAAGCCGCCATCGACGGGATCCGAGAGGCTGGCGCCACGGAGCAATATATCTTCGTTGAAGGTAACTCGTACACAGGGGCGTGGACCTGGACCGATGTGAACGACAACATGAAGAACTTGGAAGATCCCCAGGACAAGATCGTCTACCAGATGCACCAGTATTTGGACTCGGACGGGTCTGGTACCTCCGAGACCTGCGTATCTGGTACGATTGGCCAGGAGCGCGTCACCAGTGCTACTCAGTGGCTCAAGGACAACAAGAAGGTCGGTATCATCGGTGAGTTCGCCGGTGGAAACAACGACCAGTGTAAAACCGCCGTGAAGGGAATGTTGGATTATCTGGCTGAGAACACGGACGTGTGGAAGGGTGCGCTTTGGTGGGCTGCCGGCCCATGGTGGGGGGATTATATGTACAATTTGGAACCTCCAAATGGAGTTGCGTTCACGGGAATGATGGACGTTCTGCAGGCATACCTGGGATAGGGACACTGCGAAGGATAGGGTGTGAAATAATGTCAGGTCGTCATCTTGTCATTCTGGTGCTGAGCACATTGTAGATAGTTCTATTTCAGGAGGTTCTAAATGCCCCGGCTTTCGGTAAAAGAAATCGGCAAGAGTATCATATCTGTCTATACACGTAAACTGAGTTGTTGACGGTTTTTTGAACAAGCGATCGACTCGATAATACTTTTGACATGAATGGAATGTGACCCACCGATTCGTAGGGCATGGACCACAAAAACACAGCCCCAGTGATTTATGGGTAATGGGGACTAGTCTAACCCTGTACAGTAATTGAAGACACTCTCCATGAATTTTATTTTTATTTTTATTTTTATTTTTATTTTTTTTTGGAGGGACTCAGGAATCTCCACTATGTCGGCAGTGTCGTTCAATCTAAAAGAGATGCCTAAAGGTTAATCGTAAGCTTGATATCGCAAGTGACTGGTCCTTGCATGCATCTTATTACATGCCTATAGTTGCTATCACCACGATAGTACTGAATGAATAACTCCAGGTTGGATTCCACCTTGAGGGATGAAATTCGGTGCCTGATTGACCCAGTGGGAGAATTTTGTTGGATCCAATGGAACGGAAGAAACGGCTTCTGCTGCTTTTACTCGATCTGGTATTCCGTTGACTACCTTAAGGCAGCGCAGGTCTTGTTGAGTCTCCCAATTCAATTTCGATCCTGTGTATGATGCCTGTCTAGAACAAGTTAAGCTGCCAAGCTTTAAATAGGGAAGCCTGCTTGCGCCTTCGACTAGTATCTAAGTACTATTTATGATTTAGAGCGAACATACTTAGTCTACTCCGTACTCCGTAGAGGGATGGTTATTCTAATACTATGGTGGCCGTGTTGTGGATCACAATGCCTCAGATCAGTTTCGATTTGACAACTTTAATTCCGATTGTGGTTCTCGCTTGCTCCAATATTTTTATTCTCATTATTATTATTATTATTATCATTACTACGTACTTATTTTATGGTAGAGCGGCAGATATGGTACCAGATAGGTATAGTCTGAGTTTTTGCAAGGGATCGTCATAGTAATCAGTTGGAGACATCTCGTAATGCTAAGACGACGACGCGTAGGACTCCAGCCACTTATGACGTGGCGATAGGGCTACGGTGACCCCGCCACGAGGCTCGAGTGCCCCCGATCAGGTTTAGTGCCTTACGACTGGTCCCGTTGGACTCGTATGGTAAAGAAACCATCCCGGAGTTGCGGTGGAAACCTCGCATGAATTTATAGAAACATAGCGTGGCGTGGTCCTCCATCGGATCCCCCTGATTGGTCAGATTATTGACGATCTTAAAAAATAAACCTGCGCCTCCTCAACTCGTAAAGTTGATACTGTGGACTTTTAACTCGGGGGGGGGGGAAAGGCTGACGATCATCGGGCAGCCCATCTTAAAACCAACGCGATTCTCTCCCGTCTGACACTTCCTGCCATCTTATTTATTCATTCAGTTTCATTCTTTAACTCACCGTTCTTCACTCACGGTCGGTTTATCCCCACCTATCTATCTTCCTTACTTCAGACGACAATCCACGGGAATTTAGCCGATACATCCAGACAAACTCATACATAGAACGGAACCAATTTCCACATCATCAACACCGTCATCATGGGTAAAGGCGGCCGAGTTTTATGTATTATCACACCTTATGCACTCACCATCGCTTCGTTGGTATGCATCATCATCGTCGGGTTGGGCTGCACAAACTCTGGCTCAAGCACATTAAATGATCTCTACTTCTTTCGGGTAAGGATATTTCCCCCGTCTCTTTGCTGCGATCGGGAACGCCGACTAACAGCAGATTTAGGCCAATCTCCAAAATATGACGACAACCGCATCGAGCAAAAGCACAGTATCCCAGGCTCTCTCCGATGCCGGTGTGACCGTTTCAGATGGAGATATCTCCGCGGCCTTGGAACAAGTCCAAAAGCAGTTTGACCTCAAGGACTTCTACAACATTGGTCTGTGGGGCTACTGTGATGGAAACATCACCAACGACAACTTCGAAGTTTCGGAGTGCTCGAAGCCCAAGGGAGAGTTCTGGTTTAACCCCATTGAGGTCTGGAATTTGCAGGAGACCGGCGTTGAGAATGGCCTCCCCAGTGGTCTGCGCAAGTCTTTGAACCTCTACAAGAACGTCTCCAAGTGGATGTTCATCGCCTATATTGTCGCCTTCGTCGCCACCGTGGTCGAATTGGTAGTCGGTGTCTTCGCTATTTGCAGTCGCTGGGGTAGCTGCGTCACCACGCTTATCTCTGGTGTTGCTTTCCTCTTCACTGCCGCATCCTCCGTTACTGCTACGGCCATGTTCGCCACCGTCACCGGTGCTTTCAACGAGAACCTGAAGGACTATGGTATGCATGGTAGCATGGGCAAGAACATCTATGTCACCACCTGGTTAGCTACCGCCTTCTCCTTGGGAGCTGCTCTGTTCTGGATGCTTAGCACCTGCTGCTGCTCCGGTCGCTCCCCCTACAACCACAAGAACACTCCTCGCGGTGTCACGGCTGAGAAGACCCCTTACACCTATGAGCCTATCGGCCCTCAGGGCCACCAGCAGGCCTCTCCCTACAACACCACCTCCTACCCGCCCCCCCCTCCTACTCAGAACCGGTCAAATGCCTATGAGCCCTTCCGCCACGTCTAAGCGACACCATATATGAGCAAACCATATTTCCAAACAAGTCAATAAAAGGAATTAAAGAGAAAAAAAAAAAAGGTGGTCGTACGACTCGACCAATGACAATCTGATGATCCCATTTGAGCTTTATTGAAGCATCTTAGCGAGGATCCTCATTTATGAACATAATGCCAGGTTACAGCATGAGCCGTTTGGGATTTGTATTGTACTTCTGTGTTTTATTATTATTCGACTGGGTGGATAAATAATCCTCGCCTGTTTTCTTCGTTTTGCTCTGGAATTTCACCGTGGATATAGATTGATGTCTATGACATAGATACCCTCCTTCAATTTACTTTCTGCTTCACATTATCATTACTGCTTGTGAGAACTAGCATTCTGGACTTGCTTTTGCCGTCTTAAAGATTTTGGATTGCGTAGATAAAGTATTGAGGAGTCAGTCACAGGTCGATCTGTCATAAGCTTTCATTGTAGAGTGTCCGATATCTGTTCGTCTTGGTACATGGAGCGTAAAATATAAATACAGTGAAATTAATCCTTCCAGTGGATCTGCATCACCCATATCGCCCCGAATCAGCCATCGAGAAGCAACCGCTGAAAGTAAAGATATTATCTGAAACATTAAACCCGTCATAAGTGAAATACAAAAGAGTTATTAAGAAAACACCTATTTCAACAAGATAAGGATAGAATTCGGCACGGTGAATCAGGGAACTAGAAAAGAGACAGGTAGCGTACTCGTTGCTCAACACAAAGAACATTATTCAGGAGGTTTAGAATAAAACGGCCGCTGAGGTACTCCCTTTTCATCTACAGGGATGTGTGCCCAGTTGCGACGGAACTTGCGTTGAGAGAAAACATTCTGGTCTGCCCGAGCCCATTTTTTGAAGGGCGTCTCAGGACCGTCGCACCAGCTGGGTTCTGTTGGGAAGAGATGTCGGAGAGAGAGAAACCAGTTCTCGTTGGGACTCTCCGCTTCACTGGCTGCTTCTGATTCATTGCTTGAAAGGGGCGCCTCGAGAGCTGTGGAGGGCTCTTCATCCCCCAGCTCAATGCTGGCTGTCTCGTGCGTTTCATCTACAACACCGTCGTCTTCTTCGCTATTGATTTCGCTTTCTGCGATGACGGACTCGTTACCATCTAGGTTTCTCAATGTGCTGAGCTGAGTAGTCATCTCTGAGCGTAGCTGTTCATCAACTTCCGAGGCCGGTTCTACGGCTTCTGAGTGCTGTTCCTCTACCTCTGGTTGCTGCATTTCGGCTTCCGGGCGTTCGGTGGTCTCTTCTGTGTGTTTTTCGATCTCTGTATGATGACCATCGCCAGGGGCACCCACATTGTTCTTCGTATGTTGAGTAGGCGACGGCGTAGTGAATGACATTCTATCGACATCCGTGTCAGATTGGGCACTCTGGGCTGCTGGTCCAAAGGAGTGCGCGTGAAAGTTGGAAAACTTATCCACAAGGCTGGCAGTAAACGAAATATCTGCTCCATTTCGAAGACGTAATGGACTCGCCACCGTGTCAGATACGCTTGGAGTGATATTCTGTGCTGCGGCCACTTTGATCCCTTCTGCGGTAAGACTTCGTTTCTTATGCGTTGGTTTGGAAAAGTGTGATGTGAAATATTCTTCATACCCCAGCGATTTCGTCTCCAAAGAAAGACATTGCTCCAAGTAATGTGGATATTCCTCCAAGTGCTTGATAACGAAATCGTCCCACAAGAAAGACCGCTGTAAACTTCCTTTGTCTCGTACGGCTTGCAATATTGCACACAGTTTTCTGAAGTGTAGAAAGTCTCCGACATAGCTTGGATAATCATTTCGAAACTTCTCATGTATCCTTTGCGCCTCCAAGTGTTCTGCAGAGTGACGAATATAATCCTGGCGACGAGAAACGACACCAGAAGCTGATCTGGTTTCCCCTACGATGCCTGCATCTGTATTCTCGTTGTATGCAAATTTATGTCGCTTTGAAGCAGGTCGCTCTTCCACCCCAGCGGTAGATGCAGGACGCTTTAAAGGTGATCTTCCGCCATGCTCAGGCGTGTCATGTGCCAACCCCTGGCTTGGCACTAACTCCTGTCCTTTCTCCTCGAGCTCCATTGATGAGAGCACTTCATCGTGAGATGAAAATGGCTTCGAGGAATCCTGAGATTCAAGTGTAGACATAGGTATAGGAGCATTTGAGTCATGCTGTTTAGGGGCAGAAGAGTCGAAGACAAGGGCAACGTGTGAGTTAGGAGTTGCATCTGGCATCAACCAGTCACCTGTACTCATCTGTGTCCCGAAAACTTCAATATCATTCGTCTCACCAGCTTCACTGGCCCTTGAGACTTTTGTAGTCTGGGTGCCTTCTATATCGTCGTTGTCAGTTGCGTATGTATTAAAGATGCGTGATTGAGACGACGATTTGGCCGCCTGGGATGATGACTGTTGTGTGTGGTGTGATTCCAGACTAGCCTTATCCTTGTCCAGCCTCGCAGAACGTAGGTGTTTGAGATTAGCTAAAGGTGTTTCCAGAACTTGCACATGCCCGCGTGCGGGAAGTGAAGACCCAGAACTAATGATCCCTTGCTCCGACTGGTTGGTAAAATTCGATTGTTGTGACCCAACAAGTGGGCAGGGAACAGACGTATCCATGACTGAATCCTCGCTTTCTGCATCGGATTCCTCTTGGAGATCGTGTCCAGCAGCTCTGGTATTGTTGTGCACAGGTTCAGAGATATGCTCCTCGTTTGCATTCTTTTCAAACGGCGAATTCTCCATGGGTAGATCATTGCTCTCTTGAACTGCGGAAATAGCTCGGCTGTCTTGCTGAGTTTCGCGCACTGATGTCGAATCGACTTCCTTTGCTTGCTTCTCTTCTGGTGCGTTGCCTAGTTTTGTGATACGTACGCCGTTGCGTTTCATCATCGCCCCCGTCACAGGGCTACTGTCTGCCGGTAGTTGTCGAGGACGGGAAACACGTTCAGGAGAGCTTTCAGACCAGTCCGAAGTTACGGGTTCATCGTCGGATTCTGCATTCGTTTGAGCTGTGGGATAGTTGATATTTGGTGAAAGCGCACGAGACTCAGCCCGCTCAGACTCAAAGCCCCCTAGTCCGTCCCGTTCACTTAAACGACTCCTCTGTAGCGCAATTTGATTCCACTGGGTTAAAAGTTCAGGTGGTACATGTCCTTTGATGGAATCCCCATAATCGGGCGGCACCCATTGACGAGTGTGCTGTTCAAGCAGTGTGACTTGGTTTTTGGGTATCCTAATGTCCCTAGTTCTGATACCAGTCATACCATGCCAGGGGTCTGTGTGGCTAGAGCTTGAATTCTCAGATGGATGCTTCATTTCAGGTGGCTTTTGCTTTGGTGATGACCGTGGCGAATTGGGATTCTCGTAGTCCTGCCCTTGTTGTATACCTGCCTTGCCCGCCATTCCCCCATCAGTTTTCGGGTTTGGCAACTCATAATCTGCATCGTATCGCTGCTGGGGGGCTGTATGACCATTGTGCTGAACAGGACGTATCAGTCCAGGACGAGAGTCTGACGCAGATCCTTGAGCTCCTTGCCGAGGAATATCACTGGCGCTTTTAGCAGCATGTGGGCTGCTTCCCCGTACCTCAGTTCTGTCAGCAGATTCATCGCTGACTGGAATGGCAACCGTTCCATGCTCTGTATTTTCTGGAAAATTACTGTCGGCCGGCTTGGTATGAGATTCCAAGTATCCAAGTAGCGCATTTGAAACCGCTGAGCTGCGCTTAGTTTGTGTTGGGGGCATCATAGATGGTACTCCCAAACCCACGAAGGATGTCTGGACCTGGGACTGTAGAAACTGTTGCGAGACATGCTTTTCAGAGACGTCGTGAGTTTGAGACTTTGGAGAGTCATCCAAGGAATACGCCTTTGGTGAAGTCGCAGCACGGCGGCTCTCCCGAGACTTGATGGTTTCGAAAACTTTCTTCATCAAGCTTCGTATACTTGCACTCTTCTTAATTGATTTGCCTTGTGGCGCGCCTTTGTACTTGCCCTTGTCCCACGCAATACTAAGATTCCTAACGTATAAATGAATTTTCGGGGTAGATATGGCATATTCGAGCACTATCTCATAGTCCAGTAGCTGGACGTAATGGTTTAGAGTCACGTCTCTGTTTACTGGGCGCTCGCGGGCCTCCCTTTCGAGTCCCTCCAAAGACTCTTTTGCTAGCACTGCTTCGATCTGAGTTTTGGAGTCGGTTAAAGTTGTCACATATTTCCCTTCGCTTTCTTCCCACTAAAAATAATTATGAAGCGGTTAGAATATTATATACCTTCAACGACTGGAAGCTTACATTGAGAACTATAGTGTACTGTGGAGAGCGACGGGCAAAACGAAGATTACTGCCATCGTCATCAAATTCCGAGCTGTCGGCCTGCCCCTTGATGTAACGGGAAAGAAAGTCTTCAACCAATGGCGCAACCCACCCATTTATTGAAGTCATTGTGTAGATGCAGAAATCGCGTCAGAATAGAAAGCGTCATAGTCTGGTATACAAAGTAGTCCGGTATAACGCATGACTGTCAGTCAAAGTGCAGGAGAGACTTTTCTTTTAGACGGGTTGATTAGATAGAGAGTGACCATAATATACATCATAGTTCAGGGAACTGCATCATCCATCCAAAGTGCTATTCATTCTTAGAGCATAAGGGTGAATCGGCATATAAGGCGCTGTTACCTCATGGATACTAGTCTCTTTGTTCTCTCCTCCATTCGGGTTTGACACGGTTAGGCCCTTTAGACGCGCTTCACCGCCCAGGGTCCACGCCAGCCACAGCTCCCTGCTGCGCCACAACCACCACCACCACAACCACGTCATTGGGCAGCATGTCACGGGCATTTTGGCGGCGGGCATTGTGCAGGGAAAAGAAAAGCATCGATCAATCTGTATCTCACCCCTCGGGCGTCCGTGCAAATCCTCATATCTCGGCTTAGAGTATAAACTGATTTGAAGTTTGTGGTATATTCTCAAATCATGCCGAGCCAATCTTTCTATGCTTGGATACGCTCAGCACAGACTCCAGTCAGTTCCCTTCACGAGCGATCGAAGCTTCTCCACAGGTAGATGCGACGGCCGCATGCAATTATCTACTTTCGACTGAGCCGGTGTGATTTACCTTCAACGTCTAGCCTTAGACACTCCGCACCTCTTATTCGTCTGGATAAGACGAAGCCCTGATGGCTTCACAACAGTCTCAAGGGACATCAAGTCCATCCGCGTCATCAATCTTTCTTCCGCTAGGACGACGGGGCTCTCGGACATCTTTATCAACCCACGCCGAACGGAAGGGTCTAAACGCTGCACTAGACCAGATTCATACGGCAGCTTACCAGTCTGATTCTCTTACCACATTTAACGACTTTACGAATCCACCCGCTCCCACTTCCGCGACTGAAGAGAAAAGCTTCTCAGGCGAGCTACAAGGAGGCTTGAGTGGGTTATATAGTCGGTTTCGAACTTCTGTGGGCGGTGTCAGGGACATTGTAAGCGGCGTGGGAAAGTCGCTGGACAGATCCTCCACTGAAGACCATGGAATAAGAAGTCCGCCGTCGGAGCGCTCCGTCTCGAAATCTGCTCATGGCTCGACAGCTTCAATACCGGAGTCTCAGCAGCACCAACCGGGCTCATCTCAGGGTTCAAGATTACACTCACCAACATGCATAAGTCACCAATCTACGCAAGATGGCTTTCCTTTCCTACTGGCTGGGAAAGGCCCCAGGCTTTCGTCGAAAACAGCGAGTATATCCTCAAAGGCCTCTGTCCCCCCCTCGCCCGCGATGAAGTCTCCTGTTGTGCCGTTGCCCAAAAGTACGACTAGTTCAGTAGTTGTAGACCCGACAGTTACTGAGCTTCATGTCAACGCTATCAAGGAACCTCATAACTCGAGCAACAACTCCGTGAATCTTTCCTCTCACAGCTTTCAATCGATCGATTCACTGAGCACAGACAAAGAAGATGGCCCTCTCACTGCATCTATAAGCTCTTCAGGGCGGAGCCAACGATTATCACATTCCCCCGTCTTGCAGGCGAAGGCCCAGCACTTCTCGTTTGAAGGCCCAGGCACCTCAGATGTTAGCAGGTCATCTACGATGAACAGTCAGGTCCCGGATAGTTTTAAGAGGTCAGATAGCCAGGTCACTCATGAGTTAGATACATCGTTACCTGGTCCGGTGCGAAAAGCGAGGCATTCAGTCGAAGGAGTACATGATGGGACGGAGAGAATCAGGTCGAATTCAGGGGCTTCATTCAATCCAGATAAATCTGTTGCTGCTCCAGTTACTGCAGCGAGTAATGTCTCTCAATTCTCCGGTAATACTGACAACTCGTTTCCTGATAATCAACCTCCATCTGCTGCTGCGACACCTATGCCATTGGTAGAGAGGGAGGGCTCACCGAAAGAATCCTCAAAGGCACTTATCAAGAATAAACCCAAGGAAAGACTCGTTCTTCCAAGCTCGAGCCGCTTACCAGGATATGTGGCTTCTCAAGCCTCCCCAAGCGATAAATCAATGGGCTCTGCTGCTGTTACTCCGCTGAGCACAACGGTTGACTACGGCCCTAGTCAGGATGGGCGTAGCTGGCGTTCCCATGCGACTGGCGATGGTGTTATGTCGCAACTCCGGAGTAAACTGCTCAGTAAGGATTTTTGGATGAGAGATGAGAACGCAAAGGACTGCTTCCATTGCGGCGAGCCATTCTCTACTTTTCGACGCAAACACCACTGTCGGACCTGCGGCCAAATATTCGACTCAAAATGCACACTTTTGATCCCCGGAGACAGATTCGGTCAACCGGGCACTATACGCGTCTGCAAGCCGTGTGAAGCTATGATTAATGGGCATGATGATGATTCCTCGGAGTTCTCAGATAGCGAACAGAGCCCAGTTGTGGTCAATCCTCGAGTCTCCGATTTAGGCTTGGGAAGTTACCCGCGTCCCACTGCCGACGACGATGACGCGTCCTCTATAGTTTCTCAATCGATAGATCAGGTTATGAAGACACCGACAATGGCCATTCCGGCAACAAGACGTGCCGGCGAAGGCCACAATCGCCGATCGGCTGTCCTAGAGATCAGCCCGGATCGGCCATTGGCTAGGCCAACATCCTCAAGATCGCTCAAATCGTCGCTCAGTGGGAGGACTCATTCAATGGGCCATAAGCGCCATCACTCTCGTCAGCAGTTCATTCGAAACTTCAAGCCTTATCATGACGATCGAGCTCCCTTCCAGAGGCGGCATGTAGAGGACACTGCTCTTGAATCACGACTCCCTGCGTTCCACAAGGACAATATCATCGACCCGGATCTGGCACAGTACCTCTCTGATGATGCCTCGAGTGGCGACGAGCAGCCAAGCCTGCTATCAGCCGTATCAGAAGGGTCATTGTCTAAAAGCGGTGGTGACAATGAAAGAACAACGTTCGGGGGGTTTCTCGCTGCCATGAAAAAAGGCAGATCTGCATTTGGGGACAGGAGCGTTGCAAACTACAGCCATGTCGGCCGCGAACCAGATGAGGGAAGCATCAGCAGCTCGAGAGCAGTGAACCTTCCTCGTCCTCGCCGGCGTAATCTTAGCGTTGCGAGCAGTGTCCACCAACGCCCCTCACCCAGGGCGTCCAAAGACAGTGTTTTCAACCAACAGGACTCTGCAACTGCTGCCCACGTATTCCCTACTGGGGCAACTTCTAGCGGGTTCAAGATGACACGAAGCTCGTCTATGAGGGGATCTGGTGCTCCGCCGGTAGAGTTAAATAAGGCTAGCCTACAACATGTTCGCAAGCTCCTCCGGCAACTTCTGAAAGACGCTTCGATACCTCATGTCCAGAGCTGGGAGACTGCTCTGCTTCCCATACTCCTAAAAGCAGCGGATGAGGTTGATCCAGACGTTCAGGGTGGCGACGATATGGATATCCGTCACTACGTCAAACTCAAGAAGATCTTGGGCGGTCGGCCTGGAGATACATCCTATGTATCCGGCTTGGTTTTCACAAAGAACCTTGCCCTCAAGAGCATGTCTAGGTGCATCCCGCAGCCGAAGATACTGATAATTGCGTTTCCACTTGAATATGCCCGTCATCAGCAACATTTCATGAGCTTGGAGCCTGTCATCCGCCAGGAGCGTGAGTTTCTCGAGAATTTAGTAAGCAGGATAGCTGCTCTACGGCCTAACCTGCTTCTGGTTGAGAAGAATGTCTCTGGGCTAGCTCTAGATCTGCTGGATAAAGCCAAAATTGCAACGGCATACAATGTCAAGTCTTCCGTCCTTGAAGCTGTATCCCGATGCACCCAAACTAGGATAATCACTTCCATGGACAAACTTGTGACCACTCCTGTGACTAGCGAGTGTGGTAGCTTCGATGTCAAGACCTATGTTTATAATGGATGTAAGAAAACATACATGTACTTGTCCGGCTGTCGCAAAGAGCTCGGATGTACAATTGTTCTTCGTGGTGGCGACAGTGAAGTGCTCTCAAAGGTGAAACGAATTACTGAGTTCATGACCTATGTTGTTTACAACCTTAGGTTGGAGACTTGCTTGATGAGGGACGAGTTTGCTCAGATGCCGGCGTCATCCGAGACAGAAGCCGGCAGGGAGGCGATTGATGCGGCACGCTCAAGCATCTTAACTACAGCAAATAAGAGTGGGGAGAAATCAGGTTCACCCCCATCAAGCCTGCAGCAGGAATCGATTGAGAAGAGTGATGGATCTATCGCAGAGAAGTCCACTGTTGCCAGTGAGGTCACAGAAGTGCCTGATGACGTTCCCATGCCGACGTACTATCAGGACTTTGTGCATGATAGTGAGGCAAAGATCCTCTCTGCCTCTCCGTTCGTCAAGTTTGAGCCCCCTTATTTGCTGAAACGCGCAAGAGAAATGGAACGGAGGCTAGCCTACCTGAAACGTCTGCGGGACCAGAACCTTGACTTTAACCCATCATTAGATGAAAAAACCAGGTCACAAAAGTTCGTTCTTGTGACTCCTGAAATGGTCCACGAATCACCTCAGGATGCTTCCCCGAAAGTAAAGGAGGTCTTGCATGCGGCTCATGACGCCGAATATGACAGAGCCCTGCATAACTATCAAACTCAGAAACGTCAATGGGAAGCCTATATTGCTGGAGCAGCAGGTGTTTTTGACCCATATGCACATCAGAATATTGTCGTTCTCTTCAGTCTTGTCTGCACTACGTCATCAATCCCTTGCTCAGGCCCGGATCTTCTTGCTTTGGAATACTATAATGAGCACGGTGATGACGCGATGTTTGAACCCGATTGTGCGCTTGGCCAATATGTGGAGGACATATGCCTCAATGCCAACACTATTTGCAACGTAAATGGGTGTGAGAAGCGGATGTTTGAACATCACCGTCAGTACGTACACGGAGAAGCCCAAATAAGCGTTTTCATCCAGCCGTATCCTTCGAAACTCCGAGGTCTTCAGGAC